TCCCAATGAAAAGCCTCATCCTGAGACACTGGAGAGGCCGTCTTTTTTTTTTCATTTTAGGAACAGCTTTTTTTTTTTTTACATCCTTTCTCTTTGTCGCTCGGAGATTGTGGCTCTTCTGCCTTCTGAATGAAGACGTAGCAGGCGTCCGTTAACTGTAAGAAACCAATGCGTAGCATAAGCGAGGACGCGTGTTTTTGTTTTTTTTCCCCCCTGTGAATCCGTGTCTAAAAAAGGTGTGGGACTGCGGGGGCGTGGACGGTGTGCCGGTGTGCGTGGCTTCTTTCATACGGCTTGCATCTCCTTCAGCGCACGTAGAGGTCGCTGTTGGTTGCTGGGCGGAGCAGCTGCCTTGCTTACCAGCGGTGCCGCGCCACGAATGTGCGCGGCCGTGTGGGAGAGAACACCTGTGCGCTGTCTGCTTCCCCCATGTGTGGTGTAAGTGGCCGTCCCACCCTGCTGCCGTTTCTCCGTCCGCCCACTGGCACCGCCGCCCCCTAACAGAGTGGTAATAACGGGGCGGCGGCCGCGAACACGGGAGAATGCGGGCAGAGTACCTAAATCTTTGTTTCTTTCGTTGTGTGTCCCATCACCCTATTTTTCCCACACCTCTGCAGAAGGCCGCTAACGGCGTGAATTCGCGCGGTTGATATGTCGCACGGCCATGTAATGCGGGATGGTGGTTTCTGCCCTTCCGTGCATTCAATTTTCTTTTTCTGTTCATTTCGTTCTGCCCGGTTTCTCGTTGGCGGATGCGATAGTGGTGTGCTTCCGTTCCTGTGCGCTGCGTTTCCTCCTCCAAATTGGACGATCGTGACCGTTTTTGTCTATCTGCTCTTCCTCCCTCTTTTTCTCGCTCGTTGTGGTTTCCGTTTAGTTGCGGCTTCTACGCAAAAAGGTAAACAACCTGTGAAAGCCTTCACTACTACCACAACTTCGACCGATTATCAAATCACACGAGGCAACCCATGGCGAACCCGTACCTATGGATCACCGTCGTTGGTGGCATTATGGCGTTCCTCGTCGGGTGCGGCGTTGGTATGAACGACCTTGCCAACGCCTTTGGCACAACGTATGGCGCCCGAATCTTGACGCTGAGGCAGATTGTCGTTCTCGCCGCTTTCTGCGAGTTCGCCGGTGCTGTTTCTCTTGGTGCTGAAGTGACGTCCACGATATCCAGCGGCATTGCGGACCCTCAGGAATTCGCTGCCGAGCCGTACGTTCTGATGTACGGTATGCTTTGTGCGCTGTGCGCTGCCTTTTCGTGGCTGTTGCTGGCGACTTGTCTGAGTCTCCCTGTTTCGTCGACGCACAGCATCGCTGGCGGTATCATGGGCTTTGCGCTTGTTTACGGTGGTGGCAACGCCGTTTCTTGGGCCAAGAAGAAGGACGACTTCCCGTTTGTAGAGGGTGTTGTGCCAATCGTTGCGTCGTGGTTTATTTCGCCGGTGTTGACGGGGGCCGCCGCCGCCGCCATGTATGGTCTCGTCCGCTTCTTTGTGCTGAAACCACAGAACTCGGTGAAACGGGCCCTGTACGTGATCCCCTTCATTGTGTCTGTTACCTTCTTCCTGGAGGCGTTCTTCGTGCTTTTTAAGGGCGCTGAGAGTCGTCTCCACTGGGGAGTGGGTAAGGCCGCGTGGGTGGGTGCTGTCATCGGTATCGGCGCGGGCATCGTCTCAATTGGGTTCATCCCCTTGCTGAAGCGCCGTGTGAAGCAGATGACGGAGAAGGCGGAGCGGCTGGAAGAGGAGGAGCGGCGCCGTATGGAGGTGGAGGCGGAGGAGCGACGTGCCGATGGCGACGAGAGCCTGCCGTCCACTGTGCCCGTTGGTGGCGACGTTTCTGCGGGTCACGCCGACACACACGACGAGGTGACCGCGTCGACTTCTTTGGATGCCGATGCGAAACCCGGGGAACAACCTAATGAGCCGTTCACGGGCGCAATCGTGGCGGATGGAGAGAGCAGCTCTTTCGTTTCCCTGGGAAAATCGGAGGAGGAACTGCGTAAGTTCGACGTGGAGATCTACGACAACCGCGCAGAGCTGGTGTTCCGGTACCTGCAGGTGTTCACGGCTGTCTGCGCATCCTTTGCTCACGGTGCAGGCGATGTGAGCAAAGCAGTCGGACCGTTCGCCGCCATTTACTCCATCTACCAGAGCCAGCAGGTTATGACGAATAGCGAGACGCCAATCTGGATTCTGTGTCTCGGTGGTGCTGGCATTGTGGTTGGCCTGGCAGCGTTTGGCGTCCGCCTTATGCGACTCCTCGGCGAGCGCATCACGAAGATCACGCCGAGCCGCGGTTTCGCTGCAGAGCTCTCCGCTGCGCTGGTTGTGTCGTTTGCCTCTGGCTACGGCGTGCCAGTCTCCTCGACTCACTGCATCACCGGTGCCGTTATAGCGATCAGCATGGTGGATGTTGGCTTCTGCAATGTGCGCTGGTTGATTGTGGGAAAGCTTTGTGCCGGCTGGGTATTTACTCTTGCGGTTACCGGGATTCTCTCTGCAGTGCTCTTCGCCCAGGGTGTCTACGCGCCGGCCCGTGGAGTGTGAGTGTGACGTTACTGAANGTCTCCTCGACTCACTGCATCACCGGTGCCGTTATAGCGATCAGCATGGTGGATGTTGGCTTCTGCAATGTGCGCTGGTTGATTGTGGGGAGGCTTTGTGCCGGCTGGGTATTTACTCTTGCGGTTACTGGGGTTTTCTCTGCAGTGCTCTTCGCCCAGGGTATCTACGCGCCATCGTTGTCAGTCTAGTGGGTGTGGGTGTCTGATGCGTTGGCCGAGTTTTTTTTGTTGTTTTGCGTAGCTTGTTTTGTAGTACAATTGTGAGGGTCCGTGAAAATTTGTTTTATAAGGGATGGTACCTGATGAGGTTGAATAGACCGCAATAGAGTTGAACTCCCTAATGAATGAGTATGATAAGTATTGGGCATCTCCACCTTCTTTCTTGTTTCTGCAATTTACTCAATTACTCCCGCTCCTGGTGTAGTTGTGGAGCCTTTTTTTTTTTGTTTGTTCCACCCCCCTTCACTCATCTTTTGTTGCGCTGAATTTGTTTTGAGACTGGAAATGATTGAAAAGGGATTTTTCGTCCACACTCAGACACGGTGTGGACGAATGTTCTTGTCTGGTAGCGCCAGTCACCTGGAAAACTGTGTGCTAGGCTGTCGTGCTACAACGCTGCCCCCACTGCCCCAATAACAATGAAAAAAAAAATGTATAATTTGTGATAAATAATAAGGGGCGTGAGCAATGAGGAGGCAGCAGGCCGACGCCGCACACCCTTCCCCTCTATATGTCCTCTGGTGGAATGCAAAGCACTAGCGTGTGCGTTTCTCCTAAATAGTGAAATCCCCTTGAAAGTCTTGTAGATACTTCGTGAAGGCAATCGCTACCATCGTGTTGTAAGTGGGGAGAGCGATCGGGTTCACGGGGTGATTGGCGTTCTGAGGCAATATTTAAAGGGCAAATGAATGAGTTGCCTTTGTCGCATCGTTTGCTTCCAACATTTTAGTATGGGTAGAGTTTTCGAACAACTCCAGCGGAGGCGCTTCTGATCGCTGAAGCCAAGTGTTCTCTTCTCTACTTTTTTACTAGCAAGAGTGGAACAAACGACAATGTGACAGAGATTCATCTTTAGTCACTGCTCGCTAAGCACCATTGGTGTCAGTGTGAGCGCCGCTTCGAACGCGCGACGGACATCGGGAACGAAAGAAAAGGGGGAACACATATGAACAAAATAATGTTCATATATTGAAAACGCTTATAAGTAGCATAACATAGCATTTTTTAAGATTTTTTTTGGTGTTTTCGCAAGGGGCTGGGCCAAATGGGACTTGGAAAGCCCATCTGTTTGCGGATCTGAGCGACCTGGCTGTGTGTATTTCTCTGGCTTTCCCTCTTTGTCTCTCTCGCCGTCAGCGTGGCAGCCTATGGGTGGTGGCTTTTCCTTTTCCGGGCGACACACCGCCTGTGGAGGTCTGCGCTCCTACAGCCCCTGGGAACGGTGTGGGCTGGTAGGTGAACCCATCCTCTGCGCGGTTATCTAGATCACCGCTTTAGGTAGCATTAGACTATTTATCTAGCCGTGTGCTTTGAGGACTGATTCAAGCAGCTGCTTCTGAGTTTGGTGAGATGATCCGTCGTATCTTCGTGGAATTGGACAGCTCGTGGTGTTGCTATGCTTCGTTTATTTTTATCCTGATTGTTTGTTATCTCCACTCTGGTTGAACACAGCTGCCACTTGCTTATATGGATGCTGTGCTGGGTTGGGTTCTCAGGAGTTTGCTGCGGTGTTCGCCCATCGGTCAACCGATGGGCTTCGCTTCGCGTTCTTTTGGCGAAACCTGTGCTTTTGGCAGAAGGTGTGGTGTTGCAGTCTTATGCGTGACTCGGACACGCTTTCTCCACGTTGGTGACATTCGGAGGTTTCCGCTGACAGTTACAAGGCGCCGTCTGCGTTCTACTGACGCTTACTTTGTTATGTTTGGACGGAACCTCAGTAGTTGCATGGGCACATCTGCTCTGGGCCTTTCCTCCTTCCTCTTCCTCTATTGCCCGGCACTTTCACTGGTCGGGTGTAGAAGGTGACGCGATTCTTGACGGCAACTGTCTTTTGGTGCTGTTGTAGCTGCACTCCTTGCAAGGCAGGGTGTGATTTCTGTGGACATCTTTTTTTCTTCCTTTGACGCGTTGCGTGTTTCTCCGTTTTGTTTTGCTTTTATTTCTTCAGCGCGATGCAAAGACACGTGCGGCGTAATGTGCAGGGCGGAAATGCAGGCGCCAAGCGGCCTCGCTCATCGGCCGTGGAGCACGGCGAACGTGGCAGCGGGGCGCCGAAGGACCCGTTCGTCCTTCCCCTGCGGAAGACGCCGAATGGCAGTGGCTGCTACCACTGTCTTAATGAAACATGCGACTGCTTGTGGGTGACGGAGAGACTGAAGGAATGCTACGCGTCATTGCCGGTGAAACGGCAGGTTGAATACTACCGGAAGAGGGAATTGTGCGCCAAGTCGGTCTTGTCACCGTTTGTTTCACGTCTAGTGCGGGTGGCCAATGTCACCTCACGTGACACCTTCTATGATCTGGGCTGTGGTAACGGCAGCGTTCTCTTCCAGGTCGCCCTGATGACTGGTGCCCGGTGCGTCGGCGTGGAGATCAACGCACAGAACGCGGCGGTCGCGAGGCAGGCGTGGCAGCGTCTTCGTCCCATTTTCGAATCACACTGTGGAAAGACACTCGAAGTCGAGATTATCTGCGCAGACTTTTGCTCTGTTGTGAAGGACAGTGATTTCTTCGGCCCTTCCCCTGTAATCTGGGCTGCAAACCTGTTGTTGCCGCGGCCAGTGAACCATTTCCTGTCGGAACGCTTCCGATCGCTCCCGAAAGGAAGCCGCGTGCTGTGCTTGGAGGATTTGTACCCGCATGCGCGATCTGTGGCGGCGGTGCGTGACCCCGACGCGTTCGAGAAGTTTGACATGACAGATTTTAGGTGGCAGGCGAACAGCGTTGAGTGGTGCGGCATGGAGGGCCCATTTTTCATGTACACGAAACGCACGTGAGAGTGGAATGCCGGCAGAAAGTAAGATGATGAAGAGATTTGCGTTTCTCAACGCCTTGTACGGTTTTGTTCATTTAAAACAACCATCACGAAATATACAGACATGCTTCCCTTTTACAGCGTAAGGCGAACTACTTTTTGCGCAACGGTGGAGACCTAAGATATTCACTGCCTTCTTCTGTTTCTCCTGCGTTTTGCGTCTTGATGGCTGTGCAACATTTTCAAGCGGTGCTATAGACATTCAGCGTGCGAATGCTATTCGTTGCATTTGAAGGAAAATCGAGGCTTATCGACCTCAAAACGAAGACTGTGCACAAGACTTGTACGACATCCCATGTGGAAAGACGGGGACTGACGTACTGTGCCTCTTCCATGACTGTTGTTGCGCACCAATCCAAAGGATGCACGTCGTTCTTTTCACCTTGTACGCAGCAACCGGTGCAGAGGAGTTTTACTTCAGAGACCATTACATGCTCAGTATGTACATCTGACGGCGTATTCCTCGTTGGGGGGACAGGGGAGGGCAACATCTATGTGTGGAATACACTTTCAGGGCAGCTATTCCATCTCGTTAGAGCCCATACACGTTGCGTGACGGACATCGCCATGTCTTCTGACCAATCGCTCATTGTCACAGCCTCCGAGGACTCTGTGTGCAAGACGTGGACACTTGCCTCCTTAGTGGCTCGCGGTGTTAAGACACCGGCGCCTCACTCCATCTTCAATGGTCACACCTTGGCAGTGAACGCCTGCTCCTTTATGGAATCTGGGTATTTGGTTGTGACAGGCTCTGCAGATCGCACCTGCCGCATTTTTGATGGCTTAACAGGCCGCCAGCAATTTCTTCTCACGGTCGAGGATGCGCTGACGTCGGTGCGTTCTTCCCCCGGTGGTGAAATGCTGCTTCTTGGTTCTGCTAGTGGATCATTGTTCTTTGTGAGCCTCTACACCGATACTGCGGGACCAAGGCTCCCAACAGGGCTCTGCAGACGCAATGACGACGTTGTCGTGCGCCGCCCCTTCGAAGAGGGTCACAGCGGCGCTATTGTGTTTATTTGGTTCGACGCCGCTCGGCCTGATTATGCCATTGTGGGGAGTGCGAACGGCGCCGTACTGTGGTGGAACACCGCCACGCGAGCGGTGCAAAGTGAGGCCCTTCCACGTTTGACCGCCGGTGTGTTAAGCATTTGTTACGTGCCGCGAGAGGCGGCTTCGCTTCACTCATTGCCATGCACTGGCATTGCGAAGCACCCACTTGATCCGTGCGGGACAGACTACGCTGTCGTGGCCGTGACGGATGGTAACGCGGCGACAAGGCGACGCGTGGCTGCGGGTTCGCGGCGGCGTCGTCGCCTTGAATCCTGCGGGGCAGACATCGCCGGTGACAGCGCGAAGGGGCGGGATGATGAGAAGGAGGAGGATGCTGAGGCAACAGAGCCGAGCGCGGGGAGCGGCAGATGCCGCATCGAGGACCTTCGTTGCCGAGAAGAGAAGAACAATGAACTCGAAACTCTTCGAGACCGGCTTAAAGAAAAATTACAGAAGCTAGAGGCTTCTTAACCTACGGAGAACGAAGGAAAAAAAAAAAGAAACACCACAAAAAGGACTTGTAATCACGGGAGCGGCCTTGTTTCCCACAAAGGCATCACAAATGTTTCTTGTATATGGTTCTTTATTTCTTTGTTTTGTTGTGTTTTGACATAGATGGTAGCGCGAGGACATGCAGGATGGTGCCCCATTCCCTTCCCGTCAGCTGAGAGAGTGCTCTGTTCTCTTCCGCGAGCTTGTGGACTACATGAACCCGCTCCTGACTCTCATTGACAGCGGCTCGTGCGACGGCGATGAGTACGCTCTTATTATTCCCCCTAATAGCGACATTGAGCGTTGTGTGACGAGATTTTGCATGCAATCACGAGGAGGAAAGCAGCGCATCATCCGGCGAGTTCCACAGAGTGTCGTCCGCCGGCATCTGCTGCATGGTCGGAGTCTCGCTGACATGTCAAACTTGGCTGGAGACACCGTGCGTGTTGATTTACGCCGCTCCTCCAACAGCGGTAACAGCACCAGTGAAGTCTCTCTGTTGGGATACATCACACTACAGCATGCAGGAGGAGCTGTACGCCGGGTAGGCATTCAGTGGAGGGAACCGTACGGGGCAAACAACCGGTTTTCTGTTCTATTTGTTGATGGTGCTCTTCTGGACGATGAATTGGTGGCATCCGTGAAGGTTCCAGCGATGCATTCTGGCGTCCACAATCATGTCTGGTCACGGCTACACAAGCCTACCACCACCAATGAGACGCCAGCCTTTGAACAGTACAAAGGCGATGAAAATGCACTACGGTCCTTTCTGGAGGAAATTGTCAATCGGAAAAGTGAGGAAAACGACAACAGTAAACGTTTGCGGAAACAACTGGACGAGGCCCTCTTGTATGTAGAGACAGAGGTGGGTATTATGCTCTTGTCTTATGTCTGCATGCCGGGATACGAGCAGCTCATCGTTGCAAAGGTTCACCAGATTGTCACGACCGGAGCGGATGCTGCGACAAGCGACTGCTGCTTCTCGGAGGAAGACAGGGAGGACATCCTCGTTTCCTTTCACACGATAGTGAGTGGTGCCTTGAGTCGAAAGCTCGTGCCTCACTGGGACAATATGATGCAGAGAGAAAACATCGCTTTCAATCACGCCTGCCGGACACTAAAGCAGGCTTACCCCTTCCGCCATTTTCTCCCGCGTTCACTTCCGTTGGTACCCGAGAGCTGTTTTGCGAGCGCGATTCGATTAGTGAGGCTCCTGGAGAGTGATTCTCTTAGTGCTCTGTCCTTGATGCGAGTAATGGAGGGGGCGCTGAATACCCTCATGGATGCGCTTGCAGCACATGACTGCAGTGCGAACTCGACGGCAGACGTGTGCATCTCTCTCGCAGTTGCTCTCGTCGTTGCGGCGGAGCCTGTGCTTCTCCCTGCGCGTATTCGCTATATCACTGATTTCGGTCTGGTGGCCATGGAGATGTCTGCCGCTGGCTACGCAGTGACAACCTTTGAAGCAGCCTCAACGCAAATAATGGAAGAGTACCGCCTTCACATTAGTGCAGTGTAGGAGGCGTGTGTCCTGGTGGCCAATGTGTTCCCTTTTTTTTTGGGAGGGGGGGGTGGTGGAGAAGGCGGGGGGCTTTGACTGCAATCATCTTATTTAGGGTTTTTTTTTGCGTCTGTCTTTAGTTTTGCTTAACTTTTTTTTTTGGTCGTTTTGTTTCTCTTTTACAGGTCTTTTTTTTGCTTGAAGTTTAGGTGTTATCGGTGGGGTGACGACTCTACTCTTTTCTTGTTGAATATGGCCCCAGAGATACCGAAGTCTGATGATGAGGCGTACACCACGCGGAAACTGGCCCTACTCCCAGCACTTATCAACATGAAGGGCTTCTTGAATCATCACATAGCGTCCTTTGACCACTTGATCAACGTGGAGTTGAAGCGAATCCTGCTGAATGAGTCTAATAGGGATATTAAAAGCAGCATCGACCCGGATTTTTCCATTCGGTACACAAACATTCGTGTGTGTCGTCCGCGGGAGATCGTAGGCAAAGGGCAGTTGCCAAAGGCCGTTTCTCCACACGAATGTCGGACACGCGATCTCACGTATCGTGGCGACATGATTGTTGACGTTGAGTACACCGGCCGGGATCGCACAAAACGCCCTTGCACTGAGACGGATATCAAGATTGGTACAATTCCAATTATGCTCAAGTCAAGCTCATGCAATTTGTACGGTAAGAGTCGAGAGGAGCTGATCACAATGCGAGAGTGTCCTCTCGACCCTGGGGGATATTTTGTTATAAAGGGTGTGGAGAAGGTGTGCTTGGTGCAGGAACAGCAGAGCAAGAACCGTGTTATTATTGAGGCCGACGACAGCGGTAACATTGTGGCGCATGTACAGAGCAAAACACATTATTCTATTTCAAAGTGCTCTGTTATGTTTAAGAAGGGACGAATTGTCATGGTTCATCGTTCATTCAAAGAGGATATCCCTATTGTGGTGATGCTGAAGGCGCTTGGAATGGAGGGTGATCAGCAAATTGCTCAGCATATTGGCACCTCGCCGGCATTTCAAAGCGTGTTGTTTGCCTGTTTTGAGCAGGCGGCATCCCTTGGCGTCAAGTCACAAGACGATGCTCTGCATTTTATTGGTGAAAGACGTAAGGAGACCACATGGGAAGTTGATGACGCTCAGCAGAGGCATATCCAGAAGTCAAAGGCAGACAATGCAGCTGAATTCCTTGGGAATGTGCTACTCTGCCACATCAGAGAGGGCGAGGTGCAACGTGATTGGAACTTTCGTCACAAGGCACTCTACGTCTGCTTCATGGTGAGGCGTATGATTGAAGCCAGCGTGGACTCGTCTTTACTGGATGAGCGGGACTTTTACGGCAATAAGCGTTTTGAGACAACGGGTACCCTCATGGGTCTTTTGTTTGAGGATCTTTTAAAGCAGTTCAATCGTGTGGTGAAAACAGCGATGGATCAGCAGCTTTCTAAAAAGGATACGACGAAGCCGTTTAACGTTAAGCAACTCATGGAAAGTAAGATGGAAGTGATCCAGAACGGGATGCGTGTCGCATTGAGTAGTGGCCGCTGGGAGCTGAAACGCTTCAATATGAGTCGTCAAGGCATCACCCAGGTTCTCTCTCGCCTCTCATACATTTCGTGCATTGGTATGATGACTCGTCTTGCTTCATCATTTGAAAAGAGCCGAAAAATAAGTGGACCACGTTCACTGCAGCCAAGTCAATGGGGAATGGTGTGCCCGTGTGACACACCGGAGGGGGAGAGTTGCGGCCTTGTCAAGAACTTTGCCACCCTCAGTCAGGTGACCTTGGATATGGATGACTCATTTGTTAGGGCAGCGGCACACAATCTCGGTGTGGAGGAGGCGGATTGTATTGGCCCAAGGGAGTTTTTGTGCTACTACACTGTTTTTTTAAACGGAACGTTAATTGGCATTCATCGTTATCCAAATCGCCTGTGTCGTGGCATGCGAGCGCTGCGACGATCTGGCCGATTGCATCCTCACGTCTCCATCGCAACAAACGATCGTCAGAAGAGTGTGCAGATTGGGTGCGATGGTGGACGAATTGTTCGTCTTTACATTGTTGTTAATAATGCAAGACCTGCGGTTACTTCGGCCCATCTTGATGATCTGCGTGCTGGAAAGTGTTCAATTAACGATTTTTTGGCAGAAGGATTGGTGGAGTTTATTGACGTCAATGAGGCGAATGATTGTCTTATTGCGGTGTACCTTAAAGACATTGAGGAGTATACAACGCATTTAGAAATTGAGCCTTTGTCTCTTTTGGGGGTTGTTGCGGGCATTATTCCATATCCGCATCATAATCAATCTGCACGAAACACATTTCAATCAGCTATGGGCAAGCAGGCCTTGGGGACTATAGCATACAATCAGTATATTCGAACTGACACGGTTCTTATGCTGGGTGCCTACCCACAGCGCCCACTTTGTCGAACAAAGGCAATGGACCTTACGCACTATGAGAAACTTGGAGCTGGCATTAATGCCATGGTGTGCGTCATGAGCTACAGTGGATACGATATTGAAGACGCACAGGTGTACAATAGATGTGCGCTTGACCGTGGCTACGGACGTTGCGTTGTTCTCCGAAAACATGAGGTTGATATGGAAAGACTGGCGAATGGGGAATATGACGTTATTCTTCCTCCAGACTCCAATTTTGGTAAGTGTAAGGCGCTCAACAGTGATGGTATTGCTAGTAAAGGTGCCATAGTTCGTCAATTTGACATTCTTGTCAACAAATACACACCAGTTGCATCATCTGAACCAAGACCAAATCCACTTGTCTACAAGTACCCCCAACCTGCTGTTGTAGACCATGTGGTGATTTCACCTCCAGGAGATTCCGAGCGGTCAATGGACGTTGAACAAAAAATTAAAGTCATTACGCGAGAGGTTCGCATTCCAGAGCCCGGTGATAAATTCTCTTCGCGCCATGGGCAGAAGGGTGTTGTGGGCCTTATCACTGATGGTGTCAATATGCCTTTCAACGAAAAAGGTATCAGCCCAGATATGATTATGAATCCTCACGGGTTTCCAAGTCGAATGACAGTCGGTAAACTGCTCGAGCTCGTTAGTTCGAAAGTAAGTGCTGTAACGGGAAGGTTTGGTGATGGCACAGCCTTTGGTGGTGACAAGGCGGAGGATTTGGGTGAAGCGCTTCTTCGGCATGGCTTTAATTATCATGGAAAGGACGCGTTTTATTCTGGTATTACGGGCGAAATGATGCAGGCGTACGTGTTTTTTGGACCCATCTACTATCAACGCCTTAAGCATATGGTCACCGATAAGATGCACGCTCGTGCTACTGGACCCCGGTCGTTATTAACCAGGCAGCCAACTGAAGGTCGGGCCCGAAGCGGTGGTCTTCGTGTTGGAGAAATGGAGCGGGACTGTATGGTTGGTTATGGTGCCTCAAACCTCTTGAATGAGCGACTTCTTCTCAGTTCTGATTTGTTCACTGTTGACACATGCCGCTCGTGTGGATTTTTGGGATACAGTGGGTACTGTCCCTTCTGCAACACTAGGAACACTGTGTCACATGTCAACGTCCCATACGCGTTCAAGCTACTACTGCAAGAGCTCCAAGGTATGGGAATAAGCACGCGGCTCTCATTAGACTTTGTTGGACGACATTAAAATTCGAGTAAGTGACACACCTTCCGTACAACTGCCTCGAAGCCCTGCGTTGTAGTATGCCTCGCGGAGGTGGGCTTCTTTTCTATTTGTAATATGCCAATACGTATATATATATGTATATATATATATGTATTTTCTTTTCATTTTTGGGCGTCTTCTGCAACTCAGATCCTTGTTAATGAGTAAAAGGCTAGCGAGAAAAACAATCAGTTCACTGCCTTCTTCAAGCGGTGGTGATGCACTGTTAAAATGCCTTAGGCCCCTTGGCGTCGGCGTTTCTCCTTCTCTGCGGTGCCACCCGTGCTTTAATACACCCCCTCGATTGGCGCTGTGCGTCTTCGACAATGTTCTACCCGCTTGCCCATTAGCAGTCGTGCCAGACACCGCCGTTTGGACTGTCGGCAGTGTGCATGACAGTGACGTGGATGGTGTGATGCCACCACCAGAGGTGTGCCTGGCTGCTCTTCCACCTGGGCAACAGAACCGTCTCTTCGAGGCCTATTACTTGGCGCTCTACTTTGCATTTAATGCATGTCGAAATAGATCCACATGGTCAGCGTGGCAGACGCAGCAAATGCCACCGAATACAACCCACTGGGAAGGTAGGCATGTGGCGACTGCGTTCCTTCGGTCACTTTCTCAAGTTGCTCTGACGCCTCCGCTAGACATCTTCATCTCTATGAGCCATTACGCAGTTTCCCATTCCTGCCGTTTGTCAAGAGATGGGTCGCGCATGCAAATTGGGGGCCCAACACTGGCATTGCTCCCTGTGGTAGATGCCACACTGATAGAGGGCAATGAAGAGGCAAATGTATCTTTGCAGAAGTGTGACGCACGACATGTCCGCAACCTCAAGAAAACACATCCTCTATTATACGCGAGACGGTGTCTTCAGTCAAAATCAGATGAGGCAGGGTATTGGGTGTTGCAAACGACCAAGTCGGTTGCGAAGGGAGAGCGGCTGATATTACGCTACGAACGGTAGCCTTTATCTCATTTTCTATCTGTCTGTTCCGTCGTGGCTTTGATCCGCAATTCCATTGTTGCTGAGCTTTTTTTTTCACCGCAGTTGTTCGCGCACGACATCATTATCAAGTGGCGGGTGACCGGCGTCAGAAATTCAGCAATGGGCTGAGGCGGGGGTGTGTGAGGTAGGGAAGAGCGAGGCGCAACTACAGGTGTCGAACAACTTCGGTTGGTGTTTCTCCCTGTTTTTATTCAAAGATAACGACTACAGTACCAAAGTAACTTTGATGTTGACGTTGAGAGTGGCCTTCTTGTCATTGGATGCATTTTTTAAATTATTGGGAGTGATGGAAAACAAGGATACCGTGACACTCTCTTCTACACCTTGTCAGGTACACCCTTGCGAGGTGTGACATCTTCTTTTAGGCAGTTTGTACTTGTTGGAGGAGGGAAGTAGGCGTCATGAAATGTGTGTGGCTTTGTTTCCTTGGTTTGTGGATGGCATGGTGGAATGATTTTATAGCGTCTTGCATTGTGTCCAAGAATTCTTCTAGGGAGAGAGTATCGCATACGGCAGCCTCATTAGTTGCCGTATTCTTCGGGCTAGAAGACAATACATTTGTGTTTTCATTACTGGTGTGGAAGGCAGCGTCTGGTTTATTCAGTTCTGCAATGAGGTTTAATTGGGAGGGGCCTTTCAAGTATTGCTTAAATGTAGCGGAAGCTATGTGATGATTAACTATATGCAGGTAGCCATACAAGAGCCAACAACTGCTTTGGGAGAATCCAACTGTGGCGGTTTTCCAATAGCACAAGGTTCCTTCATATATACATTCATAGATTGTTTTAGTATGGGACTGACGAGTGCTTTCTTGTGTCTTGGGTAGAAATACCTGGGGCCGAAACACAGTTGAGATTTCTCTAGGTTAATGGCTATGCGTTGGACTCGGTGCGCGTAGCTTCTTCTGTTGTGCCGTGCTGTATTGGGCACAGTCTGCTTTTTGCTCTACACGCGCGATGTAGAAGAAGTGTTTGTGGTATCCTCGGTACTTATTCATAAACACTGACCAAATGCACGTCTGGCGGAGGTTTACTTGTTTTTTTCTCCTTTTGGGGGTACTGCTGCGTGTGTGGATTCTTCTTCCTCCCCTCCCGCTTGTTGCTATTGTGGGTCCATTTGCTTGACTCCACACTCATAAACTTGCATATACATTTACGTGCTTTATCAGGTCAGAGACACCACTCATGGGATCCATACACCGAAAACGTCTGGCTTACGTAGCAGTGTTTGTCCTCATCGCGCTTGTGCTCTGCTTCCAGTTACCAGTGCTTGATTCCGAGCCGCCCAACAGCGGCAGACAACCACTGGAAAACTATATCCGCTGTGTGGGCGAACGCCTTCTGGTGGATGCAGAGTCCAGGCAACTGGGCAGTAACAGTGGGCCCGGCGTCCTTCCCATGGTTGTGATTCCGCTAATGCTTGACCTACACGACTTCCAAGATGTGATGTGCAACATCAGCGTTCCGATCCGGCTGCTGGTGTTGGTGCAGAACGGCCGCGAGCCGCAGCTGTCTTCGTTCCTGGATGAGCTAGAGGCCGCGTACGGGTGGTCTCGGCGCCTCGTGGTGCGGCGCCGCCCGGAGAATATTGGGTACAGTGGCGCCGTGAATTTTGGGCTGCGTCTGGCGATGTCGCTTCCCCGCGAGAAGATGCCCTTCGTGTTTGTAACGAACAGTGACGTGACGTTCTCCCCCGACCTGCTTCCGCGCCTGCTGCAAGACGCACACGTGATGACTCTACACGACGCGGCACGCATGGACGAGCTGGCGGCGGAGGTGGCCGATGAATCAAGTGGCCATGCGCCTGCATCGCGGCGGATTAAGGTGCTGCGGTCGTCGAGCAACATCAGCGCTCTGTCGACGTCTGTGCTACTTCCGGACCGTATACGCTACGCCCCTGCGAAGGAGCGTGTAAAGACGTTCTCACGTCACTTCGGTTATTTCTGTATGGATTACCGCCAGAGCTGCTTTACGTCTGTGATATTGACGCGTCTGGCAGTCAGCACTGTTGGCTACTTTGATGAGAACTTTTACCCAGCCTATGCTGAGGACGTCGACTACGCCATGCGACTTCGTATGCTCGGGTTTCAGCAGCATGTGGTCTCGCACGGCACGTTCGTCCACCGTTCGAACTTGAACCTTCGTAAATCTTTTGGTGCAGCGACAGATGCTGTTTGGTTCCGTCGCGTGTATCGAACGAGGTTAACACGTGTGTACGCTGTTCAGAAATGGGGCAGAGAAGAGGTGTGCTGTGACGGGTTCAAGGAGCCATTTAACGGCACTCTTCCCCTTGACGTTTGGGTACGAGATGACATCCGCATTGCGCGTGCCCGGGCGTATGGGCATTCCATTTTAACAGAACTTCCTAATGCCACCTACGATATTTCCCTGTTGAGACAGGCAAGAGCTTCAGTTGTCTTGTGAGAGGGGAGCAGACGTGTCATTTTTAAAAAGTTTTTTTTTCTTTACGGTTTTCCTCTCTTGTTTTTCTGCTTGTTGTGCATTACCGAAATAGCGTAAAGTAATAGTTGCAGATCTGCCCCGCCAGCCCCGTGCCTAGTTTTTTGGATGTGCGTATAATGCGTACAGGGAAGCGAAGCATATGTAGGGCTTGCGAGGATAGATTGCTTCTATGCAAAGTTAAACGTACCACGGTGGGAGATTAGGAGCACGCATCTGCAATGAATAGTAGAAAAGATGCTTGGATGCTCTGAGGGACTGATGTGACCTTCTTGACGTTCCACCACTCGTGCATCTCGATGGTTTGCCACACACTGTTGTCTTGTAATAAGTTTATTTCTTATGTCTCATTTTCCTTTTTTTTTTTGTTTTGACCACAACAACGTGGGGATCGGTAGGGATGACGCTGGGGTGTGGAGGGTATTGGGAGTCCTTCGTCTACGCAAAGACAAATGAGAGTGGGGTGAGACACGGAAGGTGCAACGTCACTCAGGGGGTGGGGTTGTATTTTGTACACCGTGAGCTGTGGTGAAGAGGTCTCCTCCTGCGGAATTATCAAACGAGCCATTTCCTCAACGCTTGACGCTCCACAGTGTCACTCGTGTCGCAGGGCTCGTTGCTTAGACAACCGCGTATGCAGTGAGCATCTCTGCGCTGCTGCTTCGGGGCGTGGAATCTGAGGAGTGACACTGACTATGCGTGGTGTGTTTGCTGTAGCTTCAATGGAGAACGGGAGGCACACACACACACACACACTGTGGTGTTGCGGTAAGTTGCCCTCTGTGCCAATGGGATTTGCAGGCATGTGTGTGTGGCGAGTGAGTGTGTGGTCTGTTGGCTCTGCAGATCCCGTGGGCAGCACTCTTTCTCTTTTGTTGTGCGTCTGTGGCATGTCTTGGTGGATTCTGTGTTGTGACAGATATGGCTGTGAAGGGAGTTGGCGCCGCTGCATTGCGTATTGGCAATGCCTCTCTCCCAAATAGGTGCGCGTGTGTGCGTGTAAAGAAGGGGACTCGAAATGTGGATGAGAAGAGAGGGTTAGGGTAACTGCTCTGCTCCCTTCTGAAGGACTCTTCCATGAGCAGAGAAGATGTGTGCCAGCAACCTAACGTTGTAGGCACTGNTCTGCAGATCCCGTGGGCAGCACTCTTTCTCTTTTGATGTGCGTCTGTGGCATGTCTTGGTGGATTCTGTGCTGTGGCCGAAATGGCTGTGAAGGGAGTTGCCGCCGCTGCATTGCGTATTGGCAATGCGTCTCTCCCAAATTGGTGCGTGTGCGTGCGATTGTGTGCATAATGTTTTATTGACCAAGTGTAAGAAGTGTTGGGTGACAACGCTTCCTCTTGTGAGAAACTGGTAGCGGCCACCAGGGCAAACCAAAAAACATTGGGTTTGAATGCCGCTCATGTTAATCCTGAAAGTCACAACCATCCTCCCGCCCCCCGTTGGGAGGTGGATGGAGAGCTTGCAATTGCTTGACCGATTAAGGCGCGGTGTGTGGAGTCTGTCTTGGTAACACGGACAACAAGTTGCTGTAGCCACAAATAGAGGCATATGCCATACATATATATGAATGTGGCCTTGAGACACATGGTGAGTTCGGGCCCGCATTATTTGAAGCATATTCCAAATTTTTTTCTCTGACCTTGCAACAAGAATGGCCTGGTCTTAGTTGTGTGAGGCAGTCAATATTCTTCATCTGCTTATCTCATACAGCTGGCTCCCAAGGGCAAGTTTTCTGGGAAACCCACCCAATCCAACCCTCCCCACCCCTCGAGGGAGGTGGGGTAAGGCAGCGTGTTCATTCTCTTTCCATTGAACGAAAAAAACAAAGATGAGGTTGTTGTAGTAAGCAAACAGACTGTATTTTCATGCAACGCCTCCACCAGCATGTCTGACAGTTTCTAATTCTCTTTATTTTTGCTGCGTGAGGGAAAGGAGGCGAGGTTTTTGAAGATATCGGGTAAAGGTGTATGATGTCTGGTGAAAATATTGAGACCGGCGTCACTAATGGGCGGGCAGACGTGATTAGCCGTATGTTGCTCCTTATCACATGCTTCCACTTCACTATGTGTTTTTTGTTGTTTGGTTATTTCTTTCTTCCGTTGCATTTAAATTCAACGAGTGCTCTGAAGACAAAATGGCAGCGCACTGCTTTGCTCAGTCTTTGCCCGGAACAAGCCACTAGCCAATCGATCGGTGGATTTCTTCAAGGACAAGAAGAGACGCTGTGCCTTGCCGCTTCCTCGGCTGAGACGAGATTCGCGTTATTTTAAAGTTTTGAGCGCCTGGAAAATCAGTACCCTTTGCTGTTCAGGCGACATGGTGTATTGCTCTACCGACTCTGGAATCACGTATAGGGTGGAGGCCCTGAAATAATCATTGCTAGAATGGATTTAAACAAAAAGTTCGACGGTGACGCACCATTACGCGTCGCTTTGGTGAGGTGTGTGTGGCATCTGCTTACAGGGCCATAAATAGCTCTGCCACTTCCGCAGCGCATATGTGAATGAAAGGGATGGATGGATGTATGGTGACCTCATTTGGAGCGTTTGTGGACGTAGGAGTGCTGCGGATGTTTTCAGTGCCTCTTTTGGTTGCTTGGCGTGTAAATTCTGCTTCAGACGCTGCAGGCTGCGCTGCCCAGTGCCAGCGATCGGGAACGACCACCCATTCTAGGTGCAGTATATACGGAGACATGATGTGTCCATGTGCATCCACTCGAAGCTGATTTCAGAAGGAGAGATAGGGGGAGTGTGCTGCATGTCGTTTTTCCCCTCTATCTTCAACTATTATTCCCTCTCGCAAGTGACGTTGCTCTTTTGTTGTTGTTATTTTTGCCCACCTTATTAGCGAGAGGGTGCGCTGAACTTGGATACGCGTATCAACTGTAGTCCTCTCCAGTTGTAAGACTCTTTTTTTGAGGTGTAGCCACTAAAGTGGAGGAAGAGGTTGGGCCGGGAGAAGCTACAAAGAGGATGAAGTTGACCACGGTTGTACGATTTCCTCTTCCAACTACTCTTGTTGCCCTCACATTACCTCATCTTTACTGTTGGGAGGATCGTCCCTTGCATTTGGTGGGAGGACAAAAAGACATGGATGAAAGAGGAACGTAGAGTGCCTAAACGGGTTAGGGATATGTTTCCTTTGTTGGCGATAATGTTGTCTTATTGGGTGTTTTCTTTCTCAGTGATGTGGTGGCACACGTATAATGAAGGGATGAAGCACGACTTCCAGTTCTGGTGCCGTGTTTGATTCTGCACAGCAGCTTTTGATGGAAGATGCCAACTAAACTTGGCAAGGGTATTATCCCTATGAGTGCCTAAAAAGAGTGAGTTGCTGGGAGAATTCTCACTGCATCTCGCTGTAAGATGTTCGGCACGCCCCCGAATTTGTGAGTGTTGACGATAAAAAAACAGAGAGAGAGCACACAGACGTGGGTGGTGCAGCATGTGTATGGTCATGAAAAGAGCAGCGGGGTGTGCGGACGAGGGGGGAATGTGAAGTGAGAGTGTGGATTGGAAAATACAAAGTGCGGCACCAACGTCCATTCCTGCAGTGCTGTGTGGATTCCTGGTGTTCCTTGTGTCTGGTGACTCTGACTTGTTTAGAATAGCTGCTTTTCTCTGCGGTGTGGTATATATATATATATGTGTGTGTGTCTTTGTGTGAGTGTCCCCAAATAACAGTGTTTAAGCACCTCGCTGTGGCTCATAAACATTTGATTCTCTCTCTGCTTTCATTCACTCACCTTCACTTTGTTTAGTTTCTGCTGCGTTTCGTTAACGAAGAGTACACCACAGAGAATCATGCCTCCAAAAAGAGAGAATGTTCAGCGAAGGACTCCTGTAGGAGACACCGTGGCCACAGAGCGAGAGCAGCCTCAGCGGTCGCGTAGAGGAGTGAGAACAATAACAGGTTCAGACAACAGTGATGCTCAGCCCCGAGCGTCACGTGCAAGTGCAGGGACTGTTAATAAACCCAGGTGGACTCTCGACAGCACAGTGGAGGAAGTTCTGCTACAAGGAAATCTTCCTCCGGCGAATATGAAGCTGAAAGACTTTCTTACCGAATACCTTGATGGCATGGGTGTCGAGGAAGTGAATAAGAATGTCAGTATGGATGCGTTTGTCGTGGAGCCTGGTATGTTCATCACTGACAATAGGCTGTTGAACGTCATACTTGCGATGTCGCCATTCAAGGCAATAGTAGAGGAAATGAAATACAGGGAAGCACAGAGGGAAGCACAGAGGGAAGCTGAGCACAAACTCAAAGAGACTGGTGTGTATTCTCTCCGACAGTGGGACGTGTATGATAAAAAGGAACANATATGAAGCTGAAAGACTTTCTTACCGAATACCTTGATGGCATGGGTGTCGAGGAAGTGAATAAGAATGTCAGTATGGATGCGTTTGTCGTGGAGCCTGGTATGTTCATCACTGACAATAGGCTGTTGAACGTCATACTTGCGATGTCGCCATTCAAAGCAATAGTAGAGGAAATGAAACTGCAAAACAATGGTGTGTATTCTCTCCGACAGTGGGACGTGTATGATAAAAAGGAACACGTTATCCCTTTGGTGGGAGGAATGTTAAATGCAGCCCTCAGCGTTGCGAAGAATGAATCACCGTTGTTGAAAGGTGAAGTGAT